CAAATGGAGAAATGCTATGAAAATGTGAAACAAGAGAACTTTTCTTAATGCTTCAGGAAAGGTTTCCCTTGAGGAAGGGAAATCTGAACTAAATTCTAAAGGTTGACTAGAAGGTATCTAAAAGGGCATAATGAAAAATGGATGGAAAACAGGATTTACCATAAAACTGTAAAATAGCAAGTGTGGCAGGGTGCAAAGAGAAAAGTGATTAAGATGAGGTTGGCAAGGTGGTTTATCTTAAGTAGCTTAGTAGTTTAGTCTTTATCCTAAGAGCCAGGAGAAGCCCTGAAAATGTTTTAATAGATGTGATAGAGAAAACATCAAATTTATGTTTTGAAAAGATTATTGACTGGAAGTGTGATGGAGAAGTAGATATTGTAAAATGGGTTAAGCCATGATTGCTCAAGATCAGAAAGATGTTGGGAGGTAGAGGACATGGTGATTGTGAAGAGTATTTCTGGTTTTGTCTTCCTAAACATAATCCTATCACCTGACCAGAGAAAGGCATTTATCTTTTATTCACTCAATCAAGAACTAAGTCATCTAAAAATTACACTGAACTGTTAACAGTGGTCTGCCTTGGAGAACAGGACTGAAGAGAATGGTAGAAAGAGGGAAGCCATTCATTTTTTATCATCAACTATTTGATTTTTATAAAAATGTAAATGTTTAAAACATGAACATAGAAATGCCATAAAATTTAAAATGTGAGGAGAGAGCTAAGATTGTCTTATCTGAGGTCATTTGGAATGACTTGGATATTGAGTACTCAAGGGCCGGCTCCCACTCATTTTGCTTCTCATGAGTAATCTGTAATAGGTTGGAAGAACTGAGTAGAATCCATAGAAAATACTTCCAAAATATCTTTTGATTCATATTTTATCAGATCAAAGTCTAAGAATGATCAATACTAAGAGTTGAGACTAAACATACTTCATCCTCATGTTACACTTTGAGAAAGACCCAGAGAATAAGATGGATGCATTGACTTTGGAAGAAACATTCAGCAAACTGAGAGCTCTGTAATTTGTGGAGAGGAGGGGTTGTCCTTTTTATAAATAGATACACATGAAGTCCTTATCTAGAAAACAAAGTCTCAAAGAGTTAAACATGGAAGGATTGGTGTCCAACACCGAGTAGGATTTGTTTAATTATGGGCAATACTCCACTAGGCAGAAGAGGGGTGGTATCTAGTGAACTATTAAATGTGCACTTACAGCAGAATCTTACAGATTCAGCCAGCATTAACTCATAACGGCATTCAAATGTGGAAATGGGATCTTTTAATTTACATTATTAAACTGCCTTTGAGTTTGTCTTCTGTAGTCCCACTTCTGCTATGAGATAATTACCATTTAGAACAGGGTGGAGGTTTTTGTTGTTTTATTTTATGGGTTTTGTTTTTTTGCATCCCACTTACTAATATGGATGTGAAGACTCTAAAAAACAGAAAAAGCAGACAAAATTTGCATTAAAAATTTAAGATTAGTGTTTCTTGCTAAGAGAGCAGGAAGTTCACAAAAAGCATTAATTGTGCAGAGCCACACAAAGCATTTTCACACCCATTATTCACTGCCTCCTGACAGTTCCCTAACTGGGGATTGAACCAGCAACTCAGGTATGTGCTCTAATGGGGAATCAAACCCACAACCTTTGGTATATGGGATGATGTTCCAACTACCAGGCAAGGGAACAAAAAGATTTTTTTTAAAGTATAATTGATATACTAAGAAAAGAGGAAAAATAGAATCATATAAAATGCTTGATTAAAACCATAAAAGGCAGAAAAGGAGCGAAGACAAAAATAGGAATAAAAAATGGCAATAAATAGAAAATAATATAATAGACAAGAATCCAACTATATCAATTACTTTCAATGTCAATGTTCTAAACGCACCAATTAAGACAGATTGTCAGTGACTCAAAACACAACCTAACTACATGTTGTCTATAAGAAACCCACTTTAAATATAAAGACAACATATAGAAAAAATCTAGTGTCTATACCAAAATAATAAGAAACCTAAAAAAAGTGAGCGGATAGTAGGAAATACACTTTTTTCCCTTGTCTTTTTTCCAAATCTACTAAGAATATATTGCTATTATAGAAATACTAGAGGCCCTGAAACGAAACTTGTGCACCAGAGAGGGGGTCCCTCAGCCTGGCCTTCATCCTCTCGCAGTCCGGGAGCCATCCGTCAGACATCCTTAGTGCTGCTGCAGAGACTCCCGCCACCACTGCTGTGCTCACCAGCCAGCCCATGACCCCAACTCAGGGCTTCTGGCTGAGCAAAGCTCTCTCCATGGGAGTGCACTGACCAGCAGGGGGCAGTTCCTGTGTTGAGTGTCTGCCCCCTGATGGTCAGTGCACATCATAGTGACCAGTAGTTCTGCTGTTCAATCAATTTGCATATTAGCCTTTTATTATATAGGACTAGAAGCCCAGTGCATGGATTTGTGCACCAGTGACCTTTGGTCTGGCCTGCGGGGAATGGGCTGAAACCAGCTGACATCTCCCGAAGGGTCCCGGATTGCAAGAGGGCGCAAGCCAGGCCAAGGGACTCCACCAGTGCACAACTGGGATTGGGGAGGGACCATGTGAGGTTGGCTGGCCAGTGAGGAACTATGGAAGGGCTCCAGAGCGTGTCCGGCCCATCTTACCCAGTCCCAATTGGCCAAACCCCAGCAGCAAGCTAACCTACCTGTCGAGCGTCTGCCCCTCTGGTGGTCAGTGTGCATCATAGCGACTGGTCAAATGAACAGTCGAACATTTAGCATATTAGGCTTTTATTATATAGGATTACATAGGTTATTAAACATACTCAAAATCTTCCTGTGATTTTTTTCTGGATGATCTTTCTTTTCTAGTTAATTTTATCATTCATTCATTATTTGTAATGTCCATTCGTGGCAATGACAGTGCTATGTGCTCAGCAAAGCATTTGGATTTTCTTCCTAACATGCATGACTACACTTTCCCCATCTCCCTTACCATTGGCTGAGTACCATTGGCTGAGAATGGTTTGGCTGAGTACTGGCTGATGGAAATGGTAAGTGATATATCCCTTCCAGGCCTGACCATCAAACCCCTGCAGAATCTACTACCCTAGCTCCTCTCCTTCCATGGCAAGTTTGGAGATTTAAAGCTGGTACTGTCACAAAGTGGAGAAGTCTGGATCCCTGGGAAAGAGGAGCCTGCCACGCTGGAATATTATGAAGCTGCTGAGATGCTACAATTGTTATAGAGTAGTTCGTCTATCCTAATATATAGCATTACTATTATCAGTAGAAAAGAGAAACGAAAATGCTCCTTCCAAAATACAAACCTTTAATAGTGGGCCCATTTTCTACTGAAGTCCTCAGATGGCATGCATTAAGTGTATGACCTGGTCCCATGCACTTCACAATCTAAAAATCTCACTGTCCCTCCTAAATGCTCCCTAAACTCTTGGATCTGTTCTTCCCCATTAGAGTACTGATCACTGATGTATTGTAATTATAATAGTTTGTTATTCATTAGTCCATTTCACTAGTTCGTGAGTGTCCAAAGAGGCAGCAAGGGTCTTCTTTAGAGATGTATCTTCAAAACTTAATGCTTCGTGCTGAGTATATAAAGGATGCTCAGAATGAATTAATGTGCTCTTAAATGTTCTCAGCTTCCTAAAATACCATGAAATTTTAGAGCCTGGAAGGTAGGGAAAAGCATTTTTCATTTTATCAAAACATTCTCTTCTAAAATAAATTCTCAACCCCTGAATAACTCACTGGCTGGCCTAAAGCTCTCACGTTACTGAAATGAAACCAAGAGCCAAGAAGCAAATAACATCCTTTTGAACTAGAATTTGTTTCTAGGCCAAATCCTTTATGGGTTTGTGAAGCTTTAAAAATTCTGACCTCCTAAATTCAGAAATAATTTTTTTTGTCTTGAAAATTTGCAATAAAATTATTCTTAGGTATTTTAAATGGTGGTGGATTCTCTGAATTCACATAGGAAGCAACTTTAGAGATTTAAAAATCATCACTATAATTCAAAGCATTCCACTTGTGAGGAGACAGTATCAGAAAAGCACTGTATTTTATGCTACTTGGAAATCTTAGGTTTAGTAACAACCCTTCCATTAAATACAAAAGAATTATTTTTAAATGTATTAAGCAGCAACTTTCAGGGTTCAGTCTTAGGTATTACTTTAATAGTACTAATGAAGTATATAGTTATTTTAAAAGCTTATTTTAAAAAATCTTTTTTACTCACTGCATATAGAAAACTAGATATTTTTAAAAATAATTTCTTCCTTTACATGGAATATATCTTAAGATACAAAGAACCAAATTGCTTTTGTTTTTATTATATGGGAAAAACAACACACAGGCCTTTAGTCAAATAATTTTGTGATATTTATGTTTTCCATTGCACATATGAGTTATACAAATTAGTAACACAAGTTAATTCTCAAATTCCAAACATTTTCTAAAATATTATTACAGCAGATGCCTACGATATTAAAACACTGAAGTGGAAATTATATTCTAAAGAGTTAAATATGAATATGACACTGAAAATACTGCATATTTTAATTAGAGAAAGATTAAATTTTGTGCTTAAATGCTCTAACAACTAAGTAGCAGGGCAACTAACAACTACAAATAAGTCACAATGGTCCATTTTTATGTATGCATTTATATGACTATCCTTTAGATAGTCACTTCTCTTGAAAATGCATAAAACATAAAATCTCTCTACCTAAGATATATGGTGAAGTGTATTATGATTTATGACTTTATACAACTACTAAATTCAAAGATAAAAGACACCACACTTGGAAAGAAGAAAATGTTTTTTAAAAGGAAATGGTTTTAATTGAATTAATGAGATGAAAAGATAGTGAAGCCCTGTTTGCTACTTACATGAAAGAAGATTTTAAAAAATAATCACTGCACAAAATACAAAGAGTATGGTTATGCTGTGAGATTAAGTTTTTCTCCATGTTTTTCTTAAATGTTCAAGAACAAATTAAAGTTTCCACGCCAAATTTGTTTTCAAAATGCCGAATTGTGATACAATTGCCGACTTCACGTTTCTGAATACCTGTTTGGAAGGGAAAAGTTGTTAAATTTTTGGTTCTTTAGTCATAAATATTCACATTAATCCACACAATTATTATTTAGACATATGAAAATATCCTACTCTATATTCCATTCTATAGCCTGATTTTTTAACATTAAAGAAAATAATTTTCTCTGTTTTCTGAACTAAATGTTTTAACAGATCTTAGTAACAACAATAATGCCATATGTATTACTTAGAAATATATCTTGACTGTGGTGGTGATTTGTTGAAACTTCAGACTTAAAAGAGAGAATCTCATTATATGCATAATCTGACCTTTAAAAAAAATTATGAACCATTAGATAATTTAAAAATGTAAGAAGTCAAGCAGCAGATTTCAGGTGACTGACTCATCATGTGAAGTAAATAAAAATGCTAACCAAAGCCAGGAAAGCGCTTTTACTGGGTGCTGCAGTTCCAAAGAAATCACAACTTAATATCTGAATGTCACTTCTTGCTTTCCCATAGCTCTGCCACATGTACTTTCATTTTATTTTTATAATGATCTTGAAAGGAAATGGGGAGGTACTGTTATCCTTATTTTTTAGGTGAGAAAACAAAGGCTTAATGATTTGGCAAAGCTATATTAGTTGTGTCAATGCTCTTAATTCTTCAGCTAAATTCCTTTGTATTAACCTGACTGTGATTATCTCCAACAAGATCAAAAGGAAAACAATGTGCTTAGAATCCAGATGCCTGAGCATACACCTGAACAGCTTCTCTAGACACCCTTTGCCATGTGACTGTACCAGACAGGATGGAACATGGCCTGGATGACTACATGGAAAAAAACCTTCTAGCAGCTGAAGGCAATGAGATTTCACATTCACCTATTCTCTCTCTCTAAAAAGAGTGGATTTAGAGTTAAGATGATTCTTCAGAAATCTACAAATATTATATAGTGACTGAACAGAGTTCTATTTCTCATTCATGGCAAACATACTAAATCTAGCTTAACTCAATGAAGTGAAACAAAAAACTTTTCTGCCAGCACTTTAAAAAGTTACTACCTCTAATGGTATCTCTGCGTTGCAGTCTGTAGGTTTCCTTGTCATGGCACAGTCGATAAATAAAGAAGCCCAGGTGTTCGATGTCTTCAATGCGGTCAGTGATAACCATGTGTTCATGAATTAGATATGACTGAGGCAAATAGGTTCCAGCCTACATTTGGAAAAAAATAAATTACAAGAATTATCTCAAGGCTTACACTGAACGGACAAGGAAAATAAACAAAACTCTTACAGATATAGTTGGAACAGAGGCTGGCAAACTACTGCCCATCATCTGTTTTTATAAAGTTTTATTGAAAAACAGTCATGCCCTTTTGTTTACATATTGTCAATGGCATCAGAATTGAGTAGTTGTAACACAGATTTTAATTTCTTAAAAGCCTTCTATTTATTCTCTGGCCCTTGAAAACTTAAGTATGATTTTAAAAGTTACATATTTAATTTCAAAATTAGAAAAAACAAACAAACAAGAAAAAAAAAAAAACCATGAACCCTAGTTCCTCACAGCTATATTTACAGTAAAATAGGCTCCTTTAGGGCTAGTTTCTCAATAAGAAATTCCAAGATGTTATAGCAGCAGCATAAGAAATATTTCAAAATTGTATACCTTTATGTTAATAAGTAACTCCAATAGATTTCTGGGTGGCATAACAATGGAAGTGTTCAGAGGAATCACATAGCACTTATCCAGGTTAAGATCTAAATAGGCCGTGAGTTTCTGGGAAGAAAAAGATAATTTTTTGTTAGGTTAATATTTATAACTCAAGCAACAGCTTTTAAGAATAATTTATACCATTAAAATGTGTTGGCTTTAGAATATGTAAATCACTTGCACTTCAATAAATCAAGATTTTGCTGGGATAAGAATGGAAGTAGTAATGGGAGAAGAAAAATTAATGCTATTAAAAAATAAAATACTTTAAAAATTTTTATCTATTTATTAATTTTAGAGAAAGAAAGTGAGGAAAGTACAGAGAAAGAAACATTTTAGAGAAAGAAACATCAATTTGTTCCACTTAGTTATGCATTCATTGACTGATTCTTGTATGTGCCCTGACTTGGGATTGAACCACAACCTTGGAATATGAGGACAACACTGTAACCAACAGAACCACCTGGCCAGGTTGGAAATAAAATTCTTATCAGGGGTTTGTTTCTATAATAAGCTATTAAAATTAACAGCAAATAACCTATAACTTGATTTAAGATATTTGATTAGTTCCCTCATTTACAAGCCCTAATGCCCTCCAAGAATTCCATCAATTGTAGATAAAAATAAACTTCTCTCCTATGCATCTGGAATAGTATCCTATCCTATATAATAAAAGGCTAATATGCAAATAGACCAAACAGTGGAACAACCAAACAACCAGTCATTATGATGTGTGCTGATCACCAGGGAACATGGCAGCAGGCGGCAGAGCTTGGAACATGGCAGGTGTTGGCCATGGCACGATGGTGGATCAGGTGAACGGGCGCACCAGACCAAGGCGGGGGAGGCACCAGTCACTGTCACCAGAGTGAGCCTCTGATGGTTACTGAAAATTCTTTGCTCCAGTGCACTGGAGTCCCACCAGGCACTTGCACCTGCTGCTGGCACCAGCAAGGGCGCCGGTCCCACCGGTTCCTACTGCCGGGGCCGCCACTCCCACCTCTTGCTGGCATTGGCACTGACCAACCTTCAGGGCTTCTCCACCTCCCTCTGCTCCTGAGGGGCGATTGGGCCAGCAGCCACCTCTCACACCCACTGCCGGCACTGGCCCCACTTGCACCCACTGCTGGCACCAGCCCCAATTGCTCTGTACCATCAGCGTGTAAGAGCGGCGGCAGTGGGAGCAGGGCTGCCAGCAAACAGGGGGCCAGGGGCCATCGTAGGAGAGACTGTGCGGGAATGCAGAGGATGGGCTGAGATATGCCCATGTCCACTGCAGCCCCGGGGCCCACAGTTCCTTTCAAGGTGCACGAATTCATGCATTGGTCCCCTAATTAATATCCTCCGGTCAATTTAATGATTGTCTGTGTTCTTGTGGTTCAGGTAAGAAAACCTGGTTGAGAAAGACTGTCAACAGGATGGTTTTGAGGGTTAAAATGAGTTAACAAAACCACGCAAACATTTAGATTTTAAGAGCTCAGTAAGTGTTAGCTATTATTATTTACTATTTGCTTTGGATAAGGTTTATTATCATGAAGTAAGTAATTTATAAATATTCAGCAGATGTATTTTATCAGGGATAAAATGTAATGCCAATTTCAGGATATGTCTACATGTTCAAAATAGTAAATACATACTGATTTAACATCTATAGGTAATATGAGAACTTCTGCATCCTGGTTTGAAAGAACAAAATATTCTTGGGACAAAAATTATTGGGGGAATTTAAATATCAACTGAATATTAAATAATACTACATTATGTTAATTTTCTTAGATGTGATAATTATGTGGTTATGCAGATAATGTCCTCATTCTTAAAAGATCACAGTTTTATGTATCTAGAATCAAGTGTTAAAAGTGAGAAAAAGATAAAATAAAAATGAAACATATGATAAAATTTGAAAGAAGTATGACAAAATTTTGTAACCACGTGGAGAATTTAGAATATTAACTGTATTTTCACTTCAATGTTTCTGCAATATTTAACAACTTTCAACAGTTGGGGGAAATGTAGATGGGAACTTAAAGAGAATTAATGAGCCCATGAAATGTTGACAGTTTTTATTTTGTAGGACAGAAGAAACCCAAGTTCAATTTTTTAAATAAAACATAAACTCTAAGTAGAATAAATCTGGAAATACGGAAAACTACAAAAAGCATGAATTAAAGAACTTGCACTCTCTTTGCAGCCCAGGACACCTGGCTCACCTTGTTAAAGTCATGGACAATGTTGGCAGGGTCACTATCTGCAAACTCTGGGACAGGCACACTGATGAATTCAACTTCATCTTCCTCAAAGATCTTGATATTTTCCTCAATTGTCTGGTAGCGAGCAGCTGGGGCATCTGCAGAAGGCTCATTTAGGAGAACATCATCTTTGATGTACTTTATTCCGCAGTAGTACACGTCATCTGGCTATAAAGGGTTTAAACACTGTTTCAGCAATTCAGTGAGAGACAGGTTTTTAAATGTAAGCATTACTTACGCTGCCACATCTATCCAAGTAATAGTTTGCTTGCAAACTCTTACTTTTAGATGACAAGTCAGTTTAATTATAGAGTTAACACATTCTTTAAGATCAGATTTTAAAGTATTGTTTTGAAAAGTTTCAAAAGAAGAAAAGCAGCTGATTTTCCCTTTACTTTTTGTAGTCCACAGAAATAGAATATAAAGGCAATTATCTATCTGGTGACAAGTACATTTGAAGAAACACATAGGCCTATTTCTACTTGTAGGCATTATTTTTATAAAAGAATATATTCAGAAATTAATGTTTCTTCTGAAAGAGCATGCTTTTAAAACTTTTAATATCATTCACAGATTCAATAATTTTTCTATTAGCCAAAAGAGAGATAATTTTTCTGAAATTTCTGGTCTGATTTTTCCTTAAAATATATCACAATTAAATGGAAAATATAACATTAACGCAAATCATTTTAAAGATTGCAAAAAGTACACATATATAATAAAAACTAGAAGTATATAACAAAATACTAAGACAACAAATATCTTTGGACAATAAAACTGCAAATGAGTTTTCCTTTATTAAATATATTTATTATAAAAATTGTATTAAACAAGGTTGAATGGTATTTCAGTAATGTTTATTGATATGCCATCATCTTGAAAAATATAAAAAATGAGCATAAAATTTATACATCTTCTGGCAGACTAATAAAAAATATTTGTCAACACTCTCTCTAAATTTTAATATTAAAATATTTGAGGTAGTCATAAAAGCTTATTCCCCAAAATTACTTAAGAAAAAAAAAAAAACAATAAACCTACTGAATTATCACCCAGAAAAATGTATCGCAAAACAGAGGGGATAATTATAATCAGAGGAAAAGTCTGTCTTAACCCACTAGGATTACTATTAAATACTTGTTTCAAATAACTTCCATCTTAAGTTACTTCAACATCATTGCTGAAGTCACACAATTCTCTAGAGAAAGTAATGACAGGGAAAGAGGCAGAGAGAAGTATTCCAGTGTTTTCCTAAGTGTGTCTAAAAGACTGTCTAAAGGCTGGGCAAACAAGTTGAAGAGACTCAAAGCTTTAAAATAGAACCACCGCTCTGGCTACAGGCCACAGACTAAAGTGCAGACTTAGAGCAAGTTAGGATCAATTTTCTAACACACATGAAGAAAAGGCAAAAATGGTCTTAGTATTTTTCCACTTACTTGAAGTGCAAAGTATTTGTACAGGTATGCCCCTCCCAGAATGACACCTGCAAGCATAAATGCTAGTCCAAAGCACATGCACCAACACCAAGCTCTTCTCTGGCCAACTGGTACCACTTCATCTGGGTCCTAAAATATGAAAACAGATGATGGTCAATATCTTATCTCCCATCAGAATCACAGGTCAGGATTGAAAGAAACCTTCAGGATTATTGTTTTATAAACTAAGAGACCAACGAGTCGGGTCTCTAATCAAGATCAAAGTGGTGGTGCCGAGACTCATCATGATGCCTCTGGAGAGTTCTGTCTAATCTCACCGCCTCAGCTGCTACCCCATCTCTACAGTGAAAACATGCTCCATAATTCCTTCTTTCTGTGCACAACATCTGGTGGTTAATATGTCTTCTAACATTTAAAAATTCAGAGGTTACAACACAACTTTATTATGCAATATTATGGTGCTGAGCCTCGTATAACTAGAGTATAATAGATTACTTGCAGTAGAAAATGGTCTAGGAAATTTTTAAATAAGACCTTTCTAGGAAAGATTCAATTTAAAAAAATCAAACCCTTATAAAGTCAAAAGACATACAACTAGCATACAATTACTAGAATAGAATTTTTATTTTGATTCACTCAAGGAAATAATTTAGCATTATAATGTCATCTGGGGTCAATTCCTGAGATACCCTTTTGCCCTCTTAACTCAGTTTATCTGCTATTTTCTTACTAGTATTTGTACCCTGTTTAATATGCAAACAGCAGACAAAGGAGGTTATCTGCTGGAATTACATTACTAATGGTTCAAAAAATAATGTAGTCAATAGCACTGCAGTAGCTACTTTATGGTGTCAGTTGGGTATTGGAAATATTGGGGAACACTTGACAAAGTTGTGATTGTCTAACCACCAAGTTGTGAGAACATTAAACTCTGCTAGAGTAGGTATGCTTGTTAATGTACTGTATACTGACATAACAAGTGCACTCCAAGGGAGTAGTACATAGTAAGACTAGAAAATTTTATTAAGTCATGTAAGATACTACACACTTGTGAATAAAAAGTTATTAAGAATTCCATGAAGCCATAAGGTAAAATGAAAATGAATGATAAAGTACAGTGTTTGTGAGATAAGAAAACATCCCAAGCATAATTTTAAGATGAGGCAGAATGGAGGGGTGGAAAAAAGTCATTTCTAAACATTTGGCACCAGCTGTTGAGAGAGTCAAAAGTGTGTACAACACCCACTGTTTGGCAGGCTCTCTTTTCTAGTAGCACATAAGTGACTAGCCAAAGAGCATGGGTGGACACTTGCAAAAGAATACATGGCCCTAATTATAAATTAATTACAAGTTTCCAAAACTTTTGGTATATCAGTTTTTACTGGCCAGTAAACAATAACTTCAAGAATGTGTACTATAGTGGTTCCCAATCGTTTTTTGGCCATGCCCCACCTACAGCAACTCTAAAATCCTGATATTCCCCCCTCCCCTGGGGCATAAAAGTGAACTCCTATTCACGTGGAGGAAGCCTAACAGACCATTAACTTGGTCTAAACAAACTTTCAAAGAACATGGCATCCATGAAAGAGAAAAATAAAACAATAAAAGGACAGTTGAAGTACTGAGGAAGAAATCACTAAGAAATTGTTAAGAAAATAATATCAAGTGATATGAAAAAAATAGCAGTTTCAAAACAATAGATAACTGAAATGTACAAATACGTCACAATATATATTGACATACTGTATATGAGGCCCCTAGAACCATAAGAAATGCAAAAAATTCACTGACAACTCATTCTCGAATGCCCCCCTTAAAAAATAAAATTGCCCCCACATTGTGAACCATTGATCTACTATGTTCTAGGCATTGGTAAGACAGCCTCTCAAGAGATCAGACAAAATCAGTCTGGAAAATAATTATGCAAAGAGAACATAAATATGACATGGGTTCTAATAAAGAATATGGAGAGTACAGAAGAGGGGGTGATATTGTTTGAAGAAGACTATCAAAGTGAAAAACTAATGGAATGAAATATTGAAGAACAAATATTCATTACTCACACACAAAGTTAAGGGGCAAAAAATGAATGAAATCATTTATTTTGATTCACTCAAGGAAATAATTTAAGCATTATAATTAAGTTAAGCTAAAATGTTTATCTCCAAGGGCCACATGTGATATGGCTAGAGTGCCCAATATGGTGGGAAGGGGTACAAGAGATGAGAATGGAGAATTAAATGGGACAGACCAATGGAGAAGTATCAGGATGGGCTCAATTGGATGGAGTATTATCTGACACCAGAAGGTTGCAGGTTTGATTCCTGGTCAGGGCACATATCTATGGTGCATATGGGAGGCAACTGATTAATGCTTCTCTCCCACATCAATGTGTTTTTCTTTCTCCCTCTTCCTCCATCTCTAAAATCAATTAAAAAAAAAAAAAAAAAAAAGAAAGAACATCTTAGGTCTCTGCTCTGCACCATGTGAGGATACAAAGGGAAAATAACTATCTACTATCTTCACAAAGAAGCAGGCTCTCATCAGAACTGTATCTGCCTACACGTTGATCTGGGACTTCCCAGCTTCTAGACTGAGAAATAAAGGTTTTTGTTGAAGCTAAAGAAAAATGCAAAACAAACAAAACATTAAGACTATGACAGTAAGACAAAAATTTTAGGCTTCTCAAAGAATTTAATTTAAAAAATACTTTACTTATCCACAGACCATTGCTCAGCACCTCAACAATGTGAACCCCATCTTAAGAATCAGAAAATAAAAATCTTTCAATCGCCAAATTATGGAGCCAAAGTCCATGGCACTGTAGTCATGGAATACTACCAGGTATTTAAAGTTCATCTAATCTCTTTTCTTCTCTAAATTCATAGTGATCACCTTCTACTTTGCATTAGAATAACTCAGATACAGATATTTTCTTTCCCTGTTAGCTACAAGGATGTTGTATCCATTCATATTTGCTACCACTTGCCTCAGCTAGCTGCCCCACCCATCACCACTTGCAGTTCTCGGCCTCACTAGCTCACTGGCCCACCCTCCCGTAGCTCTACCATTCGCAGGTTGCTGCCCTGCCCTCCTGATCAGTCTTACTGACGGCATCCCAAGCAATATGCATATTACCCTATCGTAAGTATAGATTACAGGCAAGTGCTACATGATGTTTCACCTAAGGATGTGCATATAGGAAGGTGGTCCCATCTATACTAAGAAAAGGATAATATGCTAATTAGATCGGATAGACTGGACGTCCTTCTGGACAAAGCCACAGTGGCTGCGAGGGCCAGTAGGGCCAGCAGCAGTGGAGTGATGGGGGTGGCACCTTCCTGATTGGCCCAGTTGCCTCCCCCATCACCCTGAGTGCTCCCAAACTATTAGAGGGGACAGGCTAGGCTGAGGGACCTCTCCCCCCAGTGCACGAATTTTTGTGCACCAGGCCTCTAGTCATATATATAAAAGGCTAATATGCTAAGTGTACTCCGACTGGTGGCTATGATGTGCACTGACCTCCAGGGGGCAGACGCTCAATTCAGGAGCTACTGTGACTGGCCATTTACAGAGAAATGGCACCATGGACCAGGCGCCCACAACACTCTGCTTCCCCCAAGTAGGACACAGGCCCCACCAGCACCTGAGCAACAGCCAACCAAATCGTAGCTGATGCTGCCAAGACCCATCCAACGGTACAAAATGCGGCCCACAGTCCAGCCCAGCCCAGAAACGGTCACTATGGGTGCTAAGTAATGACATCACAGAGTAATGCCCGGCTCCCTCTCCTTAGTGACCAGCCTTCTTGAAGTTTCCTCAGCCCAGGAACACCACTTGCTTTATAGCCAGGTGCAAATATTTCACATTTTAACCAAATGTCTGTGAAGCGTTTTCCCATGCCTCATCTCATTTGATCCTCACAGAAGTCCTGGAGTAGGTAGATAGGAGACTTCGTGGAATCCTATTTTCTTTTCATAAGTAAGAAAACAGAGATTTAGAAAGTTTAGAAACTTGACCCGACTGAAAAGAAGAAATGGTGGAACTTGAAAATAACTTTAGGTTTTCTCACTGTGCAGAATATAGTCAAACACTGCTGCAGTTAAATATTTTACTCTGTGTTCTTACCCTGTGTGATCTACAATAGTCTACTTCACGTTGATATTTACTGCTGTGTTGCTAACAATTACCTGAAAGAGAAGTTGAGGTGTTTTACTGGGCTGGAAAAAGGTTAGCTACATCAGAAAGCAGATTTAATTAAGCAAGTTTATTCTATACTAGAGGCCTGGTGCATGGAAATTCATGCGCTGGAGAGGAAGTCCCTCAGTCCGGCCTGCCCCTTCATAGTCCGGGAGCTCTCAGGGGTGAGAGGCGAGAGGGGAAGGTGACACTCCATCACACCTCTGCTGCCACTGCCGGCAGCTCAAGCCTCAGCAGGCAATGGTTACCTGAGCCTCGAACGGCCCTGGGCATCTGGGCAGCCACCATCTGAGGCTTGCCTGCACCTAAGGTCGGCCCTGGGGGTCAGGGGGCTGAAGAGACTGGGGGACTCCAAAGGCGGGCGCATGGAGTGGCTGGGCATCTGCCGCCCCAGTGGGGATGAGGGGACTGAGCACCATCATCTTTGAGGGCTTGACAGTCAATTAGCATATTCCCTCCTAATTGGCAGCGGACACCACCATCTTTTGTGATGGTGAGGGTCAATTAGCATATTCTCTCTTTATTAGATAGGATATATTAAAGGCTAAGTTGACTCGTATATGCGCAATACATATAAATAAAGCTCTCACTGGTGCGAATCACATGCATGTGTTCCAATCAGTCATTGTCGATCGTAAATTTGGTTGACACCAGTTATAAAGGGCAAACAGCAATATTAAAGTATTTCTTCTAATTAATGTCCTTTCAATGTGCACAAATCCATGCACTGGGGCACTACTAAAACTATAACGCAGCTGAAAAATTGCTATTAGTTAGTGATGTCAGAGGTGCTGTAATGCAATGTGTTACTCCTGCTTGTGGTAATACTAGTGTAAACAAACCTACTGTGCTGCCAGTTGTATAAAAGTCTAACACATATAATTACATAGTACATAATATTTTATAATGATAAAAGATGACAATGTTGC